GTAAATTAAAAAAATTCGTCAATTCTCCTAATTAACCATCGAATGCTTTTACTGAACTCTCTTAGAATCTTCTATTATTGTTATCATTATTGTTATTATTGTTATTATTATTATTATTTTTATTATTAGTATTATTGTTATTATTGTCACTATTATTGTTAGAACTGGTAGTAATAGTAGTGGTACCATTAATTAAATTTAGGTGAGTATTTCTAATTTTATCAATTTTGCAGAAAACAAATCGAAGATGAGATGGGAATGAATGTTGCGGAAAAGTTAGAATTATTTGATGATCTACGCCATGTTCCAGTTTATGTACTGATAAATAGCGATAATAGCGAATCATACAATCCGATATCTAAAGATGAAATTGATCGGATCAATTATTTACAAAAATGCCGTCTTCAACTACAAATCGAATTTAACAATATTGTTGTATGCAGAACATCGTACAGATCGCTTGACGACAACTTTCAGGCTTATTTTGGACAAATTTATAATTTACAGGTAAGTATTGCGAAAAAAATTTCACTTTATAAATACAAACATAATAGTGGAAATTCATGCCTTTCGTCTTCAATATTCTGAATTTCTTATAATTTTTTACTTTGATTCCCGAATTTCTTCACAATTTTATTGTAATTTAATACCACAATAATTGTCAAGCCAAGAAACACTGTAATTGTATTCTCAGGAATATCATAGAAGAGACTATAATAATTTGAAGATAAATTCTGTGTCGCAAATTTTTCAGTAATTCGAATTTCTGTAATTTCCAATCTTATCTTTGAGAGAAAGAATAAGATTTGAAGTGCTATTTTTTTCCATTCATTATCTCTTATCGCTTTTTATTTTAGGTGCAAGAAATACCTGAATCCATAACAATAACAATTTTTGAGAAAATACCAAAAACAGAAGCTCGTAAAATTGCGATTGTTGGTTTACCTCTACCAGATGAAGATAATATTACGGATGAACGAAATATTGTGGAACCAGTGCAGTTCGCCAGTGATTTAATCATAAATGGGTTAATAATTTCATGATTAATTTCGATTATAAATTCAATTTACTTTTGGTGAAGCATTCTACCATATGGCATACATAGAATATCTAATTGATTACCCATCCTTTTCCAACGCAATTCGTTTTATTGCTTTTTTATTTCCGTTATTAAATTTAATTCAGTTTATTTTGGTTACAGAATGTATTCGAGTCTTGGTTCTGGTAATCAAAGGCCATGTATATCCGGTGAGCTATATTGTAATGCCTCATGGGCTAAACAAGGTACATTTGTAACAAGCAAATATCAACGATCTCCAATATTTACGTTACAACAACAGCAATCACTCACCGATACTGATAATTTTGATTTGATACGTAAGGAAGTTCGGCTATGTTCTGATGAAGAATTTGATAATGATATAAGGTAATTTTGAAATTATTAAGTGATAATTTGATTTTAGTTAAAAAAGAGAATAAATAATATAGCAATAAAAGATAAATGTATTTATCTAACATTTAATATTAAAAATGAATTTATTTTTATTTTATTTTTTAAGAGAAAAACAAAATAAACTTTTTGTTAATAAAACAACGAATGAAAAAAGATACTAAATATTCTTTTAACCTTTACTTTTCCCCTTTTTTACAGATTTAAAGCGTTACAAATGCGGAATGAACAAAAAACAGGTGTTAAGAAATTACTTCCATTGTTGAATTCAGAAATTGAAAGTCATATGATAGCACCAAATCGCGCAATAAATCAATCTAATTACAAAACAAAAATTGATCGATATCGAAATATTGGAAATCAATATGCTCTTATGATACGGTAATGAAAATAATTAAGTGATTTTGTTGAATAATATAATATATCTTCTTAATAATTGTTGATAATTAATTATTATTATTTTCTTCTTCATCTTTCAGGAATCGCTTTCATGAACAAGCGATATGTGAACAAAGTATAATGATGAAGGATTTTATACATGAAGAACCACTTCCGGAATTATTCGGAATATTTCGTGCTTTATCAATTAGTTCTACTGAAATGTCACGAAAACTGAAACCACTAAGGCAAACAACAATTAACCGAAAGGTATCATGTGAAATCATTAATTATCGCATATAATGTGTATTAATATATTTGAAGTAAACTATAATATAGGTAATGAGTGATATGGAATATTATCTTATCATCAATATTCACTCAGCGATAAATCTTCCGGAACCTGAACGAGGAAAGTTACTATCGTATGTTGAAGTTTCATTCCAGGTTAATTTTTCATTAAAAAAACTATTCTATTTAACGAAAACTCTGGATCATTGGTAACTTTGAAAATGGATATTCTAATTAACGAGACAGTAATTCAATCACTTCATTTGCTTAATGACAAAATAATTTGAACTTTATCCTTCAAAGAGATATCTTATTTTTTTCGGATAGTTCACGTAAGATATATATGATATATAGTTATAGCACCAATGATAGCCGTGTCATTACTAAATAATCAATAATTTTTGTAGTAATAATAAGTTTTCAGGATTCAGTAGCGCAAACATCAATATCTAATGGACAAAATCCTTATTGGAAGCAAACTCTCGAATTAAAATTAAATCGTCTTCATACAGCTAATAATGATTTTAGCACAATTACAGATTCCATAAAAATTGCAGTTTACGACCAGGTTAAATTCTTCAGTGGAATCATCATAAAGCATTTATCTAAAAAAATGCATGATAGATAAGATGGAACGAGATATAAAAAGTGAAAAAACTATACATCGAGATTTAAAGTCATAGCAAGTAGATTGGTTTGAATAACGAATTCCTTGAAATCTTCAATTTGATGAATCCTTCTAGATATAATTTTTTATAGGAGAAGCATTTTAAGATTTACTTTAGCTGATCACTAAACTTGATGCTGACGATCGTGAACCTAATTCAGTACATGAGCAGTTAGAACGGCGATGGTTAGGCTCTATTTTTATACCTCTGACAACTGTTTACTTCAGTGGCAAAATAAATGGATGTTTACGTCTCCAAACACCACTATTTCTTAGCTCATACAGGTTAGCCAATAATGATTATTTGGAAAAGTTTAGGAACAAAAATTTTTATTAAAAAATAATTAAATAATGCAAATTATTTCTACGCTATTGCAAATTTTTTATCTCTCATTAATTTTTCAGGATTGATAATCAGCCAGCATATCTGAAATTACTGATAGCTTTTAGACCAGATATATGTTTACCACAAATTGCTGACATCAAATATTCGAACGTTGATGAGAGTAGCGTTGTAAGGAGTTTATCCTAAATTTAATCGATACAAATTTGTTAATTTGTATTAAATGAAAGTATTAAACAATTTATGAAACTATTTAATATTGAATATAATCTATACAATAGTTATTTGAGCAATAAGAAATATGAAAAATTCAAATTTATGAAATAATTTCAGATACAAAAAAAATCATTAAAATGGGAGCAAAATGCTAGGAATCAATTCCCACATCGTCGTTATATTAGTATTGTACAAAGTACTACTGGCAAACGAATATTAGCATGCAGGTGTTATTTTAGCATTCATTATTAATTATTTTAATTACATCCTAAAATTATTTTGAAATTTTTTCTTTTGCCAAAAAAGAATTTATAAAACTTAGGAAGTATTTTAAAGTTATTTCTTAAATAAAAATATCGGCAAATAGGCTGATTTTAGTGGGGTTGGTTGTATGTATAAATAAATTAAACTAAATTTAAGAATAAAAAAATTATAAGTTTTTTTGCTCTAATTATATATCTTCTCTTGCTATCGAAAATTATGTATTGGTGAAAGCATATTAATGCATTAGACAATACTTTGAAAAATTCAAACACTCTGATATCTATGGCTCATTTTATTAATTATCGTCAAGCATTGTTTAAATTCAGTTAAATAATACGCTTATTTTATAGATTCATCCGACCAATTAAACCACCGGTAAACTTATCAGCTTCATCATTGCAAGCCTTAACCTTAGCGCATACTGCATGTCACATGATTTCCTGCATACCGTTTATTCCTGATCTGGTGCTCTCTGCAAGATCCTGTGATGTTTGGACTACCGCTGAGCGGGTGAATTTTGTTTAACGAATTGAAATTTCATGAAGTAAAATAGTGATTGCAACTCTAAACAACATGTCAATCCTTGCAAATTTTAAGTTTCTATTAATCGGTTGTGGAGTTATGGATGAGCATGCCATATTGTTGTGTTGCTGGTTATTATATCTTGGTATAAAATCGTATGTGCTGTTTGGAAAATCGCTACCGGAAGGTTGGCAATTTAGAATTGAATTTGAACTAGTTTATCATTTTCAAAATCACTAAGCTAACTACTTTTCATTCATTAGAAAATTTTGCAAAAAAAAATTATTTCCAGTTTAGATATTTACAACAATGGAAAACTTATGATTTTGACTTGGAATGAAAGTGAATTTAAAATTTCTAAAATTGCAAATAGTTTTAAATGGCGCTTACAGGCTCCAGAGCAGCCTATGTAATGGCAATAGTTCCAGATGGTACACTAATTTTAAATCCATCCGATGGTAACTGTTATAAACTAAATGATCCTTTCTGTCCTATCATATCTGTTGGTACTATTGCTTGTGTCGGAAATTTATATGGAAACATTCAAAAACATGAACATCCATCTCAAATGCAATTTGATCTAAGCGTATGTTTAGCAAAAATTTGTGGAATAATTATTTGAGAATCATTTTAAGCATATATTTTGAATTTATTCAAATCTGATTTGAACAATTTGAGGCTTCTATAAAGAAATGAACGGATTACAGAAACGCAGCCAATGGTTACCACTATTTAGCAGTGACCAAACTGAATTGGAATCGGTGCAGCCGGAACAGATTACTTATTTTGATACAGAAAATGATGCATTGCTACAGCTTCGATCTAATCTGGAGCGTGAAATTCGCTTAAAATTTGATCAAAGTCGTCTATATGGAATCCCACATTGGAATCTATTGGTTACTAGGTAGACGAGATTAGGCTTATATTATCTTCCTATCAGAACAACTATATTAATTCATTTAAACTATAAAAATACACGAATCTTATTCTACAAATACCTTCCTTTCTATCAATTTATTCGTCTCTATCTATAATTTGGTTACAAAATTTAATTTAGTTGAGAGAATATTTCTTATTTACCAAAAAATTTCCATCGAATAACAACACTTTGGAAATTTTCAGGAAACTACGTGAGATTTTATCTCAGCTAGAAAATACGAATAACAACGAACAGATAAAAGATGACTTATTACAACTACATAATTTATATCAAGCAAATGTCGTTGCTTTCAATCATCGATACAGTACAGCTGATGAAATCATAGAAAGAGTATTAATGCTTAAGATACATGAGAATACTGATCAAAATGTTCAATTTGCATTAGCCATTCATCTGCAATCATTTGTTAACAATATTTTATCATGTTCTATTGCTGTTGCTGCATTGAAATCATTGATAAAATGATTTTTTGATAATTGTAAAATTAAACATTACATTTTACTTTGGTCAAACTCATAATTCTTTTCAGTAAATCAATTAGAATTCTCTTCGCAAAAGAATGTTTTACCATTTGCTAATTACTGTTTGATGCTGTTGCGGTTCTTTTTCCTCTAATGAACATCCAATATGGAATAATTCAATCATTTGATATTCAAAAATTTAATCTTTCCATCTGTTCGATTTCTTTCTATCTGATATCATTTGTTGATTCTCACATCTCTCTCTTCAAACCTAAAATTCTGATCAAATTTCGAAACGTACCGAAAATTATTCAGAATCTTCTCGGTATTTTTTGAAGTTAGAATTTAGGTTTGAGTAAACTCAAAACATTAATTAGAATTTGGATTTAAAATCAAAGTTTTTGCATCACTTTTCTCATGATTTAAAGGTTATCATTTCATAAAGAGAAGCTAAGAAAAAAACATAACACGTTGGCTTCAACATTTCCACATGTTGCAGTAGCTGAATTCATGCAACATAAATGTAAATTGCTCATATTCTACAATTTAAATAAATTCCATTAATTATGCTACTACTAATATTGAGATGCATCTTTTAAATGAGCTATGATTAGTTGCCATTGTTGTGAAGTTCCTTTTTGCGGGAGAACTTTGGCGAAGACTTTTTTTTGATGGAGAGTGTTATTTTTCATGACGTTACAATACAATTATCAGGTATTATCGAGAATAGAGTTGATCACCTGGTTGTTCTTCTTCCTTATTCGTTGATTCGGGAGCATAATTTGAGACTGCCTGTTAAGGTAGTGGTTCAAAAGAGCTTGATAGGATGTAGATGGATAGCAGTATCGGATTGTTTCAATGTTTTATCTTTATTTAAATGTTGGAAAATTCATAGCAAAGATGGCCCGAAACCTTTCCTTCTATCCTCTTTTACCTTTTCCTCACTTCTCATATAGTGAAGAAAAGTAATAGCCAGCTTAGGTTGCAACAAGAAAATAAAGGTCAACGTCACTTTAATGTAGCTTACATTAACGATATACCAAATATCATAAAGTTGTGTTGTATCTAATTTGTTGTCCTACTAAAAAGCAGGACATTCCAAAATTCTACTTCAAGCCGCAGCAGTCAGAACTCTGCCCTAAACATTCAATCACTTCAAACATGGACAATTAAACCGACAAATGAGTCTCCAACATTGTGATTTGTTTGTAATGCATTCAACAATCGTTGGTTTTCTGTTCCAAAAGATTTGTTGAAGGAAAATGTATGCGACACTTGTGATGTCGCACTTTCACAGATTATTCTACATTTGAACGATATCTACGATATCTTCATAAACGTGATGAAAAATGAGCGGATACACCAAATTCTCTCACCGTACCATTTCTTATAAGATCACATATGCTGCCTCATTAAGATGCAGGACATTTTTTACTTCGAGTAGCCGAAACTTTAAGTCGAATCACTTAATTATCTCAAACTTGGCTATTAAACTTCGGGTGTAACTTCGACATTATCATATGACTGTCATATACACTCAGCATTCATCACAGTAGAAATTTTGTTGAAAAATCAGAGATGTAACAACACCTGGGATCGAGGATGGTAAGAAATCCCATTAGATGAGATGACATGAAGTCACCTTTCTCTTTATTTCGTTTGAATTTCATCAATTCTGTATAATTAGAATTTATTTTAGAATTAGAAAGCGAATGCAGCGGAGGAGAAAGTAGTACTAATTTTAAATCACAACAGTGCTCAGTTGGAATTCGGTATGCATCTGCAGCAAAAGATGTCTTCTTTCCATCACACGATGTGCTGTAGTAGTAACACCATTTCACTAAGCTATATTTAACATAAAATCAGAAATCCTGATTTTGAATTTGAAATGAAAACAAATTGGCACAGCAAAATGAAGTACTTCTCATTGCAAGCGCTTGGAAAGCATTCGATCAAATAAAGCAAAAGTCGAATCGTGCCATTTCAAGATCACAGCACACACAATCACAAACGCGAAAGCTGACAGTATCATAAAAATTATGAATGCTATTAAAATGATACGGCAATACATAACATTAGGGCACGTGGCATATCGTCCAGAATCTGGCGCACCAACAATAACAGCTTGTGGGTTTGGGTACATCGTAGATTTTGCTAAAAGTTCAGTTTACTATAAGGGTTTAGAAGTATCGTTTATGTCAATTCTAATTTAAATTATCGAAAACCATGAAGTGAAGAAAATGGGAAGGGACCAATTCGAGTGCGAAGAAAACTAATTTTCATATACACAAAATACGTGATGTCGGTCCAACTCAGTTACTTCATATCTTTCGAGAACTGATACCGCAAATGAGTGACCAGATGAGTAGCTTCTTTAATGAGTTTTTATAAAAACAGTTGCTAGCTAACATAATGTAGTTTGCGGTATAGTTTGTAGTATAGTTAGTAGTAAACCTAGTATCCCGGCATATATACCACAAACTACATTATGTTAGTTAGCAACTGCTTTTATAAAAACTCATTAAAGACAAACTGTCAGTTTGTGGTATATATGAAGGGTTACTAGGTGGTTGTGGAAATGGTGGAAAAGGCCCACTAGCATTTGTGTTTGAACCGATTGCTGCCTCTGCAACGCTGTGAATCACTTCAGGATTATCTAAGTCGATATTATTAATATAAATCAACTAGGTGGTTAATGCTAACTGGAAATGAGAAACTAACGGTTTCTAAGCGAAAGAACAGTGGGAACTTTTCAAAATGTTGTAACAACAAACCATATGATGGTGGGACTTTCTGGTTATTGTCTTCAAAATTATTCATTGTATTCCTGAAAGTGATACAAATTAAACACAACTACGAATTTCGCACTACTGCAAATATAATTTAAATTAGAGTTGATATTAGACTAATTCTATTCGTTCTGGAAACTGTCCTGTCTTCAAAATCACGTAAACTTCTGCACAGTTTCAAACAAACATTTTCACCACCAACCATCATACATAAGCACAACAGACAATGTCACGAAGCTCATAAGCATACATCCAAAATAATATAAATTTTAGAGGTGTATTTCTTTGTCTGAAATCAGAGAGGCGATTGAATAAAGCAAACAATAAATCATATAATTCATTGATAGTACCATTCAATCGCATGATTTATTGATAGGATTATTAAATTCAATACTTTCTATCGGCATATATGTCTTTAAAGAGTAAAGAACATCATGTTAGTTTTGTTTACCTTCATAGATTTATTTCTTTCCATTGCAATTACCTGGAAACATATAAATCAATAAATCATCGCTACCATTATCTAAAATCAGTAGTTGTAATTGGCTAATTATTTATTGATAATTACTTTATGTTGCAGATGATTATCTCACCATGTCAACGTTATAGAAATTATTGATAGAATTTTGACAAATAACGTTTTTCTAATATAGTTATAATATCAAAAAATGGATGTCCTATGTTTAGCTTGCCATCATTTGTCAACATTCTATCAGTCGTTCCTATGATGGCTGCAACAATTTGCTAATCAGACTTAAAAATGAATCACTACATTGTAATAAAAACGAAGTTTGGTAAAATATGTGCTATGAATTCATCACTCCATTCAATTTAATCTCTGATTATTATATTTATTCTGTAGTTTCCCACAAATTCATATCCCTACGATATTTCACTATGTTCTCTGTATTTCATCATTCCGGAAATTATTCAGAATTCATAGAATCTTACAACTTATTCGGAAACTTTTCACTTAACCACTAAAAAACACATTATCATAAACAGACATGTTTTCGAAATACATACGTAAGCGTCTGATAACGAATTATCTGTCGCTACGTTCGTTATACGTTGAAGCAACAATTCAAATAATAACTTCATGGAACAAAACTTTACGGCTGTTGAAAAAAAAGCAAGATAATATAAGTTCAAGTTTTGTTTTAAAACCGATCCTTCTTTTTCGAAAAGGAAAAAAATTTTTTAAAGATACTTTGGGCGGAACAACAACGAATACATGAGCAATTCAACCGTGATCATGTTGATATTATTTCTACAGCCATTAATGATATCATTAATAGTAATAATATTTTTTTTTAACGATCCACTCTGATCTCAACAATGGAATTTGGTTGGAATTTGTTTTCAGGCGTGTGAATGTTAGATGGTAAAGTTATAGATGAGATTGAAGCGGAAGCTTTGGTTTACAACATCCGTCATATCGATATCTTTTCCGCTATTTGGGGACCAATGGATGATGGAAAAATGGCTGAAGGTCCTAATTATTCTACATTTGAACGATGTATAATAGACATGATGAAAAATGAGCTGATACACCAATTTTTCTCACGTACCATTTTTTATTAGATCACATGTGCTGCCTCATTAAGATGCAGGACATTTTTCTTTGAGCTACAGCAGTCGAAACTTTAAGTCGAAACATTTAATTACCTCAAATTTGATTATTAAACAGTCGGATGTAACTTCGACATTTTCATATGATTGTCATATACACTCAATATTCATCACATTTCTATTGTAGAAATTTTATTAAAAAATCAGAGATGTAACAACACCTGGGATCGAGGATGGTAAGAAATCCCATTAGATGAGATGACATGAAGTCACCTTTCTCTTTAACTTCGTTTGAGTTTCATCAATTTGTATAATTCGAATTTATTTCAGAACTGGAAAGCGAATGAAACGGAGGAGAAAGTAGTTGAAAAGAAGAGATAGTTACGTGGCGGTACATTTCATATGTTTCAGAAAGTTATTAATTTTCTCTTAGTTTCCAGATTTGCAGCTTATTGTTTGAATCGAAATTTATAACTTGTTAGTCGGACAGAAAAAAATTGTTATTGGTTTAGTTGTAATTTTTCTGTTCAATCCTAGAGCACTCGGTTTCATCTTATTTCAGGAAGAGTTTGTCGTATTATTCAAAGAATATAATGACATAATCGCTAAATTTAATTTTAAACTCTTTTATGCTTTTTTATACTAATTTTGATATGTGAAGAATAGGTATGGATTCCTAGAAGGGAGAGTTAGTTCGTTATATCCGCATTTCATGTTGTTTTTCTACTTTACATAAATATGAAGGTTTTAACAAAAGTTGTTTTCTTGTTGGTTTACTACAGTTTGAGCTTGCTTGGAATTATTTTACATGTTTGTTTAGTACTTATTCTTAGCATATGTTCCCTACTACATTTGTTTCTGTTTGATTAGCGCGTTGCAAATATTAGCTTCCTAGGGCAGCACTTAAAATATATATATCCAAATTAAGAATCAATGCCTAACTTATTTTTTATCTAATACGGCGTAAGTTGCTGTTCATTACATGTTTCCATTTAGCTAAATCACTGTACAAAACGTGAAGCACCGGTGTTGCGGGGCGATCAATCAGATTAATACTTGGCATTATTAGGCTTTGTAACCGTGTGTCAAAGGGAAGTGCCTATGAAATTTGATTTTTAGCGGGCATAATTTTTAGATTTTCGATTCGTGTAGTGTAAAATTTCACTAATCAGTTTTGTAAGAATTGTTAATGGAATGACGGCAGCACATTTTCTAGGGAGTCTGTCTAATAGAACACCATTTTTACACTACAGTTATCTCTGCTGCTGCACCAGTAGTTCACAGTTCCAGTTTTCAATCACAACATTGCGCAGTTGGAGTTCGTGTGCATCTGCCGCAAAAATATCTTCTTTCCACCACACAATATGCTGTAGTAGTAACACTGTTTCACTAAGTTATATTTAATGTAGAATCAGAAATCCTGATTTTGAATTTGAAGTGAAAACAGGTTGGCACAACAGAATGAAGCACATTTCATTACTTCTCAGTGCTTGAAAATCATTCGATTCGTTGAAGCCAAATTCGAGTCGCTCCGTTTCAGGAGCACAGCACATAAAATTACAAACGTAAAAACTAACAGTACCACAAAAATTAGGAATGCTATTAAAGTGGAACGGGCTTGCATAACATTAGGGAAAATCATTGGATAGCCATATTCTCCAAAAACTGGTACACCAATAACGGCTTGTGAGTTTGGGTGCATCGTAGAAGAATTTGCTAAAAGTTCAATTTACTATGAACCAGTAGAAGTTTCTTTTATACCAACTCTAATTTAAATTATCGAAAACCATGAATGAAGGAAATGGGAAGAGAGCAATTCGAGTGTCGAAGAAAGCTAATTTTCATATACACAAAATGCGTGATGTCGGTCCAATATAGTTACTTCATATCTTCCGAAAACTGATATCGCAAATGAATATTCAGACAAGTAGCTTCTTTAATGAATTTTTATAAAAATAATTGCCAACTAACATAATGTAGGATTGACAGCTTGTGGTATATATGCAGGGTTACAAGATGGTTGTGGAAATGATGGAAAAGGCCCACCGACATTTGTGTTTGAGCCGATTGCTGCCTCTGCAACGCTGTGATCATTTTTGGATTATCTAAGCCAATATTATTAATACAAATCAACTAGGCTGTTAATGCCTACTGAGAAACTAACGAGCTTCTAAGTGAAAGAACAAAGGAAACATCTGAAAATGTTGTAACAACAAACCATATGATGGTGGGACTTTCTGATGATTGTCTGCAAAATTATTCATTGTATTCCTGAAAGTGATACTCAATATAATTTAAATTAGAGTTGATATTAGACTAATCCTATTCGTTCTGGAAAGACAGTCTCCAAAATCACGTAAACTTCTACACGATTTCAAACAAGTGTTTTCACTACCAGCGGAGAGACACGTAAGCACAGCAGACAATGTTACAAAGCTCATAGAGCATACATCCAAAATAATATAAATTTTAGAGGTACATTTCTTTATCTGAAATCAGAGAGTCGAATGAATAAAACAAACAACAAATCATATGATTCATTGACAATGTCATTCAATCACATGATTTATTAATAGGATTATTAAATTCAATGCTTTCCATCGACATATATGCCTTTAAAGAGTAAAGTGCATCATGCTGGTTTTATTTCTTTCTCTATACTTCGATAGATTTATTTATTCCCATTGCAATTACCTGGAAACATATAAATCAATAAGTCATCGCTACTATTAAATAAAATTAATAGTTTCAATTGGCTGATCATTTATTGATAATTACTTAATGTTACAGCTGATTATCTCACCATGTTAGCGTTATAGAAATTATTGATAGAATTTTGGCAAATAATGTTTTTCTAATATAGTTATAATATCAAAAAATGGATGTCCTATGTTTAGCTTGCCATCATTTGTCAACATTCTATCAGTCGTTCCTATGATGGCTGCAACAATTTGCTAATCAGACTTAAAAATGAACCACTACATTGTAATAAAAACGAAGTTTGGTAAAATATGTGCTATGAATTCATCACTCCATTCAATTTGATCTCTGATTATTATATTATTCTGTAGTTTCCCGCAAGTTCATATCCCTACGATATTTCACTATGTTCTCTGTATTTCATCATTCCGGAAATTATTCAGAATTCATAGAATCTTACAACTTATTCGGAAACTTTTCACCGAATCACTAAAAAACACATTATCATAAACAAACATGTTTTTCCAGAGACACACATACATACGTATGTACACACTCAGCGTTTGATAACGAATTATTTGTCGCTACGTTCATTTTACGTTGAAGTAACAATTCAAACAATTACTTCATAAAACAAAGCTTTATGGCTCGTTGAAATAAAGGCGAGTTCAAGTTTTTGTTTTGAAACCGATCCTTCTTTTCTTTCTTTTTCGAAAAGAAGGAAAAAAATTTTTCCAAGATACTTTGGGCGGAACAACAATGAATACATGAACAATTCAACCGTGATCATGTTGATATTATTTCTGCAGCCATTAGTGATATCATTAATAATAATATTTTTTTAACGATCCATTCTGATCTCAACAATGGAATTTGGTTGGAATTTGTTTTCAGGCGTGCGAATGTTAGGTGGTAAAGTTATAAATGAGATTGAAGCGGAAGCTTTGATTTACAACATCCGTCATATCGATATCTTTTCCGCTAGTTGGGGACCAATGGATGATGGAAAAATGGTTGAAGGTCCTGATTATTCTACATTTGAATGATATCTATTATACATAAACGTGATGAAAAATGAGCTGATACACCAAATTCTCTCACCTACCATTTCTTATTAGATCACATGTGCTGCCTCATTAAGATACAAGACATTTTTTACTTCGAGTAGCCGAAACTTTAAGTCGAGACATTTAATTATCTCAAACTTGGCTATTAAATTTCGGGTGTAACTTCGACATTATCATATGACTGTCATATACACTCAGCATTCATCACAGTAGAAATTTTGTTGAAAAATCAGAGATGTAACAATACCTGGGATCGAGGATGGTAAGAAATCCCATTAGATGAGATGACATGAAGTCACCTTTCTCTTTATTTCGTTTGAATTTCATCAATTTGTATAATTGGAATTTATTTTAGAATTGGAAAGAGAATGAAGCGGAGGAGAAAGTAGTACTAATTTTCAATCACAACACTGCGCAATTGGAATTCGGTATGCATCTGCAGCAAAAGATGTCTTCTTTCCATCACACGATGTGTTGTAGTAGTAACATCATTTCACTAAGCTGTATTTAACATAGAATCAGAAATCCTAATTTTGAATTTGAAATGAAAACAAATTGGCACAGCAGAATGAAGTACATTTCATTACTTCTCATTGCCAGTGCTTGGAAAGCATTCGATTCATTGAAGCCGAATTCGCCATTTCAGGATCACAATACACAAAGTCACAAACGCGGAAATTGATATTATCGCAAAAATTACGAATGTTGTTAAAATGGTACGGCTTTGCATAGCATTAGGAAAAATCATCGGATAGCCATATCGTCCATAAGCTGGTACACCAAGAATAACAGCTTGTGGGTTTGGGTGCATCGTAGAAAAATTTGCTAAAAGTTCAATTTACTATAAGGGGAGTTGTTTATATCAACTCTAATTTAGATTATCGAAAACCATGAGGCGAAGGGAATGAGAAGGGACCAAAGAAGCTGGTTTTGATGCTTTTCATACATACAGAATACGTAATGTCAGTCCAACAAAGTTACTTTATATCTTCCTAGAATGATATTGCAAATGAGTGACCAGATGAGTAGCTTCTTTAATGAATTTTTATAAAAATTGTTGCTAACTAACATAATGTGGGATTGACAGTTTGTGGTATATATGCAGGTTGTGGAAATGGTGGAAAAGACCCACCGACACTTGTGTTTGAGTCGATTGCTGCCTCTGCAACGCTGTGATCATTTCAGGATTATCTAAGTCGATATTATTAATATAAATCAACTAGGTGGTTAATGCTAACTGGAAATGAGAAACTAACGGCTTCTAAGTGAAAGAACAGTGGGAACTTTTCAAAATGTTGTAGCAACAAACCATATGATGGTGGGACTTTCTGATGATTGTCTTCAAAATTATTCATTGTATTCCTGAAAGTAATACAAATTAAACACATCATCTACAAATATCGCATTACTGTGAATATAATTTAAATTAGAGTTGATATTAGACTAATCCTATTCGTTCTGGAAACTGTCTTGTCTCCAGAATCACGTAAACTTCTACACGGTTTCAAACAAGCATTCTCACCCCCAACGGAGAGACACGTAAGCACAACAGGCAATGTCACGAAGCTCATAGAACATAGATTCAAATTACAAATTTTAGAGGTACATTTCTTTGTGCTGAAATCAGAGAGGCGAATGAATAAAGCAAACAATAAATCATATGATTCATTGATAGTATCATTCAATCACATGATTTATTGGTAGGATTATTAAATTCAATACTTTCCATGGGCATACATGCCTTTAAATAGTAAAGAACATCATGTTAGTTTTGTTTCTTTCTCTATATCTCCATAGAATTATTTCCATTGCAATTACCTGGAAACATATAAATCAATAACTCATCGCTACTATTATATAAAATTAATAGTTTCAATTGGCTGATCATTTATTGATAATTACTTAATGTTACAGCTGATTATCTTACCATGCAATAAGGAAATTATTGATAGAATTTTGACAAATAATGCTTTACTAATATGCTTATCAAAAAATGGATTTCCTTATTTAGCTTGTTATCATTTGCCAACATGTCAACATTCTACCAATCATTCCTATGATGATAATATCATTGGCTGCAACAATCAGCTAATCAGACTTAGAAATGAATCACTGAATTGTAATAGAAATGCAGTTTGGTGCAAATATATGCTATGAATTTATGATGCATTCAACAACCGCTGGATTTCTATTTCAAAAGTTTTGTTGAAAGAAAATGTATGCGACACTTGTGATGTCGAACTTCCAGAGATTATTCTACATTTGAACGATATGTATTATACATCAAATCTTCATCACATATCACTTTTCTTGCACGCAATTTGTTGTCCCACTAAAGAGTAGGACGTTCCAAAATTTTACTTCAAGCCACAGCAGCCGAAACTCTGGGCCGAAACATTCAATTACCTCAAACTTGGGTAATTAAACCGACGATTGCATCTCCAACATTGTGATATGTTTATGATGCATTCAACAATCGCTGGATTTCTAAAAGTTTTGTTGAAGGAAAATGTATGCGACACTT